ATAACTCCACAAAGTTTTGGTGCGTCTTGTGTATAGATAAGTAACAAACTAACTGAAGAGATATGAAGAAGCGGACTTTGACTCTACCGCATGCACGTTTTTTGTTTCTAAGAATTAGAAAAGACCCTACACTAAACTAAATCCTATTGTTTTCTTTCCTGATTTTAATAGCCATTGAAGACAGATGTGGATACCTATTCAAATTGTTTACAATACAGCTTAGCCGGTCGTTCTAACAGATCTAATACTCCGAAATATTAGTTAAATGTGGTCGTTTTATGAGGTATGTCGTTATAAGCAATGTCGTATAAAGCAATGTTTTTAATAAGGCGGTCATATAGCATTCAGCCGGGACCTTTGTTCTAGGTTACTATAACCGGCATGTTGTTCTAAACGATGTCGCAGTAAACGGTTTTGACTGTATTTTAATCCGATACTGGTAGAAATATATAAACTACATTTGCCAAGAAGGTTTAAAAAAAATCAATTCGAGGGGTGAAAAGCAATGTAATTAAAGATGCTTTAAATTTGATATTAGGATCAACAGTTCGATATTTTTAATTGAACTTCAATTAAGTTTACTCCATTCAAATAGTCAGCTATCTTCTTCTGAGAACTTCTGAGAACTTCTTCAGAGAAGTTTTTGTTGTTGTTGAGATATTTTTTCCAAATTTTAAGCTTTAAATGGCTATCCGGTAAAGTTGCACTAATTTCGATTAAACCTTTCATTAAATCTTTCATTAAATTCATTAAATTTATTTTAATTTAATGAACTTAATTTTAATTCTTTAATTTTATTTCATTAATTTTATTAAATCTTTCACCCCTCGAATTGATCGAAGCAAGTAGGTATTCTACTACTACACTTAATCTATGAATATTAAAAATATATATCTTCATTTGTTGGTATGGACAAAATAATATCTGAAAATGATAAAATGCAATTCAATAAATTTAGTTCTTAAACTAAAAATACACACTCTAATAAGAAGCCGAAATGAAACTTGAATTTTTTTTATTGCTTATATGAGAGGACGAACTCACAGCCCACCTGTTGTTAAGTGGTTACTGGAGCCCATAGACATCTACAACGTAAGCGCGCTACCCACCTTGGGATATAAGTTCTAAGGTCTCAATCTAAGACGTAATTTAATTGAATATACATATTTAATAAAAATAAAACTTATGCTTATTTGTTGGAACAAATTATATTTATCATTCAATATTGTTGATCCAAAAGCGTATGTGTAAATTCTAACAAAAAATGTAGGTGGTGAAAACACACAAATTGAATGTGTGTATTATTTATAATTATTATAGGTAGGTCTTCTTCACGAAACACTTTTCAGTCCATGCAATACCGACATTGGCAATGCGGATTTATGCTGCGCTTCAGTTGTTTTCTGTGTTTTCGTTACGTCCACTATATTATCCTTCGCCAAATGGACATTGATTAAAAAAAGTTGCGATTTTTTTTTCTAATATAGCCCAATTTAAGAAAATAATTTAATATATTTTTTAAGCTTTGACGGTCACTTTCACGTAACTATTCAATAGTTTTTTTTTTTCTTATTTTAATTATTTAATACATTTTGTACGCACAGCTGTTAGAAGAAAAATAAGGATACAGAGTACAAGGGCACTACTTATTTCATGTTTAAATCTCTTCGAGTGGGCCCGCAGAAGGAAAGAAGAATTAGGAACATAAACCTAGTGCATACAGTAAACATTACATATGATTATTGTATATTATATTTAATGTAAATATATGTATTTAATATTTAATATATAATATTTATTGTAAATTTTATCGCTTTTCAAGTTGTTGACATCATCAGTAGCATAACGAAGACCGACGGTATTAAAATATAGTTTTTCACTAAAAATTGCTTTTCTGTAATCAGCTAGCGTTTTCTTCGAAATGGTTATTTTTTATTTATTTTTTTATTTATTGCTTAGATGGGTGGACAAGCTCACAGCCCACCCGGTGTTAAGTGGTTACTGGAGCCCATAGACATCTACAATGTAAATGCGCCACCCACCTTGAGATATAAGTTCTAAGGTCTCAGTAGAGTTACAACGGCTTTTTCATCAAAAAAAAAATCAATCAAAAAAAAATTATGGCATTAAGCATGCATAGACATGCCAATGACATTAAGCAGGCTTAGAGTTGCCCTATACACCTTGCTCTTGCATTAGACGCCTTCAGCTCTAACACTAAGAGCAGGCTTAGGGACCCCGGTAACCGTACTCGTCGAACTCGACAAAGAGTTCGACTTGCATCCTAACCTATGCATCAGCCCGCTGAGTTACTCGCCGGATCTCTTCAGCGGGTCGCGATTCCGATCCGGTGGTAGATTCATTCGCGAAGCAGCTGCTCTAGAGTTGTTAGGTTTGCTTCGGAAGCGCTCGGGCACCTGTTAACAAATGCCACCCCTCCTAGATGAGCCTTTGCTCGCCCAGTGAAACTGGAAAGGCCTCCAGGCCACCAGTAATCGTTCAATCATAAAAAAGGCTTAGAGTAATAATGATTTTACTCGTATGAAATCACTTCATTGCTTACAAAAACACTTAGACATTGTATTATTATTATTATAAAAAATTGAGTCACAAAATAATTGTGTTAATTTTCATGAATTAACATTGAAATACTACATGATATTACATGAGTAGAATTTTTGTGTCTTGACCATATCTCGGCGCGTTCCAAAGCAGAGAAAGGTGTACAGTGACGTCATTGCATTGTATTAACGAAATTTAGAAGTGGCATTCAAATTTTAAATCGCTTCTGTCTGCTGTTTTTATCTTGATGGTCTCACTTAAGACTGTTAAAGTGTCTATAAATAATATGTGTGCGGCAAGTGATTCCATAATTATACTATGCCCTAATTGTTTTCTCACCTACCTATTCGCTGGTAGCCTATAGGGCTATTTCAGCTACGCACGGACGCGATGAATGCCCTAACTGACAACTTAAAAATGCATAAAAATGGTCGAATTTCAAACAAAATAATGAAGCTATTACGAGTATTTAGATCCTTAAATGCTTTATGCACGTTTTTAGATCCGGATTTTCTATAACAATAGTGTGTAATCTATATATCTATCTATATGTATAAAAATGAAATTCAGTTCGTTAGTCTCGCTAAAACTCGAGAAAGGCTAGACCGAATTGGCTAATTTTGGTCTTGAATTATTTGTGGAAATCCAGAGAAGGTTTAAAAGGTAGATAAATATGAAAATTCTTGGAATTAAATAAAAATAACAATTTTGTTTTTCCTTTGATGTGTCCCCATCCGTCGGATTCCTTTTGTTTGTTTTAAGTTTATTATAAACAAAAGTTTAAGTCTTTTATTTATCGATTGAGGCACTACGAAATCTGTCGGGTCAGCTAGTCATAATATAAATAATACATAACTATGATTTTTCACACCGCAATATTTAGATTTCAAATGGCTTTCAATAATCCGCGTTAATCTTTAAATAGCTTTAGTCCGTGCTGAAAATAGTTTAGCAGATATACGAAGGTTGACCAAGCCTCATCACCTTGCCGTTTTAAGTGTTAATTGGGCACCTAAATAAACGTAAATTTGCTTAACGGCTTTTCAACTGTCGTGTGATTTGGTGTTCATTGAAAATTTGTACAATTTTGGACTACGTAGGTGGAGAAACTTTTTGGTGAGCCAAATATTCTGAGTGAGATGAAGTTGCGAAAACTCGGATGACTTGGGTATGTGGCGCGTATGGAGCAGGATCGGGCTGTGAAACGGGTGTATGCGGATGTACCGGAGGGACGCCGCCCCGTAGAGAGGTCCAAGTGCCGCTGGTCTGACGCTGTGGAAGAAAATTTACCTGAGCTCCAAGTGTCAGATTGGCAAGATGTTGTGCAGCACCAGAATGAATTGCGACGTATATTGTCGGAGGCCAAGACCCACTTCGGGGTCATAGCGTCAGTGCAATAGAAGTAGTACTAATTCGTAGCGGTACCTTTTTTTTATTGCTTAGATGGGTGGACGAGCTCACAGCCCACCTGATGTTCAGTGGTTACTGGAGCCCATAGACATCTACAACGTAAATGCGCCACCCACCTTGAGATATAAGTTCTAAGGTCTCAGTATAGTTACAACAGCTGCCCCACCCTTCAAGCCGAAACGCATTACTGCTTCACGGCAGAAATAGGCGGGGTAGTGGTACCTACACGTGCGGACTCATAAGAGGTCCTACCTCCAGTGATTACGCAAATTATAATTTTGCGGGTTTGATTTTTATTACACGATGTTATTCCTTCACCGTGGAAATCAATCGTGAGCATTTGTTAAGTACGTATTTCATCAGAACAATTGGTAATCGCCTGCGGGTTTCGAGCACTGGTGCATCGCTCCATACGACTGCACTGGACGTTTTATCCTTTACGCCACGACGACTTCAAAATTATATTATTATATACATAACCTTTGTATTTGTCAAAGATTTATTGTAATTAATTTAATGAAAATACGAAAATAAACATCGCAAATGACGTCAATAACATAATGAAATCAAATGTATGAATACTGAATCAAACTTCTGTATTTGCTGTGCATACAAAACTGTTGCATATGATAAATTCAAATCGAGTTCGTCCGTCGTTTTGTGACTCATCGACGAATAAAATAATCAATCAATTTTAATGACATTTGTATATCAATTATAATCAATATAGAAATACGAAGAAGTAGGTAAAGTTGTAAATAAGCTGGGTATACTTTTACTATGGAAGCATAAAGGGGTACTTATAATATAATGTCATACTCAATAGCATATCTAAATAAAAGTAGACCGGATAAACTATTACGATTTACGCGAAATTGTTTCACAAGCACACTGAAAAAATTACCCAAAATCCCGTAAAATTTAAAATAATAGTCCAATAAAAAGCGAAAATTTAATGAAAATACATGAGAAAACCCAAGGTATAATATTGTCTGTCCCCTCTTCACATTCATAATACTACGCCGGCGTCGAGAGAGAGTGATTCAACGGCCGATGTCAGGCAGTACGGACCTGCGCCCGACCATCACGCAACGTCAAATAGAGTTCGATTTTCAAACAACTGTCAATTTGAATAGTTCCTTTCTGTAAGCCTCAATATTTCCCGCGTTCGTTTTTTTTTTTTCGTGAATTAGACTGGCTGTGTTTTTTTTTTCTTAATCATTGTGAGTGTGCCCGTTTCTAAAAGTAAAAGGAGGTGAAGCATTCGTTATTTCGGTGAGTTGTTTTATATGTTCTACGATCTAATTTTTTAAATGTAAATGAATTTTATTGTTGTTTGCTTGTAAATTGTCCTATTTTATCTGTAGCTCAAGATTATAATTTGAATAAACCGGCTTGGGTATACGTAATAAAAATGTAAAAGTACTTATGACGAAATTGTTTCGTTAGTTTTGTTTGTCGTTGTGATAAAACTGGGACAGCGATCATTTTCTCAATACATAAACTAATTTATTAATTGTGACGACAACATTTTTTTTTAAATAGTATAATAACATACGGACGAAACAAAAGCTTTTATTTAAAAATGAAAATATGACGCAAACTACACAAACTTAAGGTCGTGGTCGTGTGACACAAATTTCTTTGCCTCATCCTTGAAATAAAAAAATGTAAAAAGTTTATTAAAGTCTTGCACTGTGAACAAAATTAATTTCAAAGAGTAGACGCTGCGGCGCCGACGTACTATTCAGATTCCGAAAAAAACATTACCAAATTGTTCGTAAATAATTGGGATCAATAATTTTGACTAAGCACTCCGCTTTGTAGTGTGTATAAAAATGATGACGATGATTATTGAAGACTCAACATGACAGCGATGTATGACAGCGATGTAGAAAAATCACAATTATCCGGTAGGCAGTAACTGACGTCCATCAACTACCGTGATAATTCACCCCGATTGATTAAGCTCTTTGCCATCATCGGCATTAAATAAAAATTACGGATTCATGTGTTGGTTTTTGTCCAGTTCTTATAAGGTTTCGACCTCTAATCTATCCTGGATATTGGGATTTTATACTTGAGATATTTTATGTCATTCCTCTTTCTCTTTGAACGCCATTGAAGGATTCATGCGAGCGGTGTTCGGAGAAAAAAGTCTGTCGATACTCGAATCCTGACGGACATTTGCCAATTTTTCGAATGAACGAATAATCGCGAATCATTTCCTCGGAAATGGAAAAATAATAATTTACGTAATTACTGGCGGTCTTTTGAGCCACATCGTTATATACCATCACCCCGCCTATTTCTGCCGTGAAGCAATAAGCAGTAACACATTTCAGTTGCAACGGTATGACAGCCTAAACTAATTAATGAAAAACTAAGACTTCCAACTCATGTCTCAAGATGAAGTGGCATTTGCGTTGTTCATGTTAATAAGAAAATAAACTCGCACAAAAATTCAACGTTCCATAAAATGTGAAAATATTTTTATTATATCATAAACTTCACCTTCATCTTCTCCTAACCGTTGCACTCTTGACAGACTGTAGGTGATCTTTGCATTGTGTTAGAGGGGAATAATTTGAGGCATGTTAGGATGCTCCATCATTTCACTTTGGTAGTTAACAAAGAAACAAAATTAATAGCATATGTTTACTTAACCGTAGTAATTTAATTATGAATTCCTCATTCAAATATTTTCAAATAATAGTAACCTATACCATATTGGTCATTTAGTTACGTCTACACAAAAAATATATCGCTCCATTTGCGTAAAGGAAGAATAAACCATAAAACTTAATAACTGACTTTAACATTCATTACATTGTCAAACTTACGCATTAGTTAAGGAATTTAAGAATCAAACTCTAAACGAAAAACGAACAAACAGATATAATTATATCAGAAAATTGATTATTCTATCTGGAATTACATCACTTTAACTATCTACTTGGAAATATAACATACACAATTTAACGTAACTCTAGAAAAGATTAATAACTTGAAATGAATAAAATAAAATGGCGGAAATAAAAATGGCGCCTCTAAAATATGCTACGCAGAACTAGTTACACATTATTATAATTATACTGCCGAATCGCGGATTTTGTTGATGCCATCGTTCTAATTATTTTTGTCGCAAAGCAATCTGGCGTATAGTATCAATTCGAAAATAAAAGCGACATTCGATGCACTAGAAAATTGATAATATTGCATTAAATTTTTATTATCCCTCGCAACAAAATAAATCATTTTCACTTTCCTCTTGTGAACTCCATAAACTCGTGTCCTCTATATCTCGATCAATAACGCTATTGTTGGACAAAGTCTTTATAGAAACGATTTATGACTGCTAAACCATTTATTTAAATACATTCATTCATTACGTGTTTATTTTCACCTTATTTATTACTATATAAAATAACTGAACAATGGTAGATGTAAAGAATGCAAACAAATTAAAGACATTAAAAGATAAGTAATACAATAAGACGTTTGCTATTTACAGTATTTGATGCAAAATGAAATAAATATTATATGATAAAATAAACAATTTGTGTAACATTTGATTTATAACTTCGTGAGAAATCACGAGTCATGTAGTAGTGCATACCCGTCTAATACTTTTGTCTAAACTCGCGTTGTTATTTTAAAGAAGCACTCATGAAATCTCAGAGCTCCGTTACTTGAATTCTTTGTTTAAAACACAATAGCAGTTTATAGAAAGTAAAAATAGTTTCCTAAAACATCTCATATTAAATTGTGATTTGCGGAAAGGAAAAGTTTCTCGCGGCGGCATCGAATTGAAACTTTTTTTTTCACTAATTCCACAATTATGCACGGAAGACACGCAATTTTTTGTTTTAGTACACCGTCTCATGAAATCTTTGATTATTACGGGAAAATTTGTTCAATAAAACAGTCTTCAAATTAATTCAAATAGAGTCTTTTCAAATTTCTAATACACTCTGTGCTGCAGTTTGGAGGTTATGACGTCCCTGTCATTTTAGCGGGAATGTTTAAAACTTAAAAAAATATTGGAATTACTTTTTTTTATGCTTGATCGCATGTTATGGGTTTTAAATCTAAACAGTCCAATATTTACGAATACGTTAAAAAAATTGTTTGGTAAACAAACCATAGAATCGGAAGTGACTGATTTCGTTAAAATAACCTTCAAATAACTGTCAGAGTGTTTATGAGTGCGGTAAATCATCGAATGATAAATCCGTGCCAAAAATGAAATAAGTCTATTAAATTTAATAGGCCATCCGTGTTTTTATCTTCTATTCATCTTCCCCTGAAGGAAATCGTCCGCCGGCCACCGGTACATGTTCCACCTGCAATCATCACCAATTAAGAATTATGGATATAGTTAAACCTTAACTTCCTGCCATTGATCTGAACACAAGGAAAGTATCCAACTCGTTTCGTCATAACTTAAGGCAGTCTTCCTGTTGTATTGTTCATTGTTTTGCAGTTTTATTATGAAACCAATATCTAAAGTATGTGATTCTAGTGTCACTCAAGATCCATGGTTGGTCGATTGATTAAATAGTACTAATAGATTCGAGCATCTATATGAGGAGATGTATGGAAATGGTAGTGCAAGGTAGACGGGGAAGAGGTCGACCGAAGAAGACATGGATGGAGTATGTGAATGACGATATGAGAGAGAGAGAGAGAGAGAGAGAGAGGAGTGAGTGTTCGAGAGAGCGTCGAGCCCTACGTCGCAAGCGACGGGTTCGACGAGAACGATGACTGGACCCACCCTAGCATAGATCGTCACTCCACCGAGCCTGAGTTACTAAACTGTAGTGTTCCAATTAAATTTGCTCTTTTAAACTAAAATAAAAACAATCGACAGAGAGAATGGTACTGGACTGTTTTATTTTTACCTATTTATACACATAGCTTTGACATAGGTAAAAAAACCGTCACATATAACAAAATTGAATTGTAAAGTAACAAAAAACGTTTAAAAAAAAACACAAATACAAACCCACAACAGGCAACCTGACGCCAATATGAATATGTAAAAAGTTTTTGTGAAATAATAATTAAACTAGCTTTTGCCCGCGACTTCGTCCGCGTGGAATAGTTACTTTGGCATAACGTTACATTTTACCCGCCTCTTCATTTACGTAGAAAGTGAGAATATTTTTGAATAATAGAATGGGAGCTATTTAAGGTACCAAAATCACGCTTTTTAACCGACTTCAAAAGAGGAAGTTATCTTTTTTATTTTTATTGCCGTATAGGCAGACGAGCATACGGCCCACCTGATGGTGAGTGGTTACCGTCGCTCATGGACGTCAGCAATGCCAGGGGCAGAGTCAAGCCGCTGCCTACCGTGAAGTTATCAATTCGACCATAATTATTTTATCTATGTATGTTCACCGATTTCTCGAGAATGCTTAAAAACGATTCTCATAATTCTTTTTATTCTTTTTTTGTTCGAAAGGGTGTCTACCCTCCTTCCCGAAGTTTTTATGAAGGGATCCTGGAGAAATCCAGAAAAATATATAATTGTCAAAGCCTATCTTGAAGTAATTTAGGTGTTTCAATGTTGTAATGAATAACGTATTTATTTGGATAAGGAATAATATCATTTTTATAAAAACACCTTCAGAAAAAAAAACTATTTTATTAGAACAAATTTGTTTAACATAAATAACGTTCTAGTGAGCCAACCTTAATTTATAGACATATGCTGTCGCGGACTATTTTTTAGAACTTTTAAAGCAGAACAATTTTGTCATACGTTATTTTAGCGAAACTCTAACCGTTTCCGCAGCGCACGCAGCGGAAACTCTCAAAAGGGAAAAATACCCCTATTTTGAAACATTATTGGCGTTCCGATTGTATTGGTATTAGCGTGATGTTATATAACCTATAGCCTTCCTCAATAAATGAGCTATCTGACACTGAAATAATTTTTCAAATCGGACAAGTAGTTCCTGAGATTAGCGCGTTCAAACAAAGAAACAAACTCTTCAGCTTTATAATATTCAATAAAATAATAATATAAGTAAGTATAGATTACTAAATTAAATCTAAGTCTTGTAGTTCGTGTGAAACTAAATATCAACAACAACGCATGATGTCATCTGTGAATATACGTTGTGCATTCGTATATGATCTATGGTTAGCTAGTTTATACATTTTAGACCGAATTTAGAAATTTTAATACGATAAACTTTTTGGTTTTACTTGAAACAGGCATAAAGTTAAAACTATTGCCATAAAAAAAAGAAAGAAAAAAACTT